TCAAGGTTGACTCAGCTTTCCATCCTTCCGAGGTGGGTGAAATGAGGACCCAGACTGTGGGGGCGATATGCTGACTTAGAGAGGCTGAAAGCCCTATGAAGCGGTATATAAGTCTAACTGCTCTTGCTATTGCTACAACTATATCCAGTAGACTTTTGATGTTGTAAATCTGGATTTTCACTGGGTATGCTAACCATCTGGTATAGACTATAGATATTACTTTCTGCATCAACAATTTTACTACCTGGGTCGGTTGCAATATCCCTGCATTTCAAAATGTTCTCCTGTAAGTTAACTGGACTGATAAACTCAAAAAATCTGGAACTAGAAGAGGAAGAGGAAGTCAGTAGGAATGTTAAGTGCATGTAGAAGTAATTTAGGCATCCATAAAGAAGACTACTTGATTGTATCATCCAGATTTCTTTAGGAGCAATCCTCTATATCTTTTTGTGAATATTTACTAGTGACGGGGAAGCATAGTTTGACATTAAAGCTTTTATCTAACAGTTGAAATTTCTAAGAGAAAAAAGAAAAGACTTTCAAAGAATTTAAAGTAACATCACAGCCTTTCAGCATCACAGATAGATATTAAAACAAATATTTCTTTGTACATAGTTCAGAAAAGTTCCTCTAGCTATTAAGTGATATGAATTGGCAGACACTATACTCACAGGCATCATCAAACAGACTCCCATTCAGAACAGTAGTACTTACTATGGGTAAAGATTCCCAATTTCTTCTTTTTTTTCTAAAACAATACACATTTGCTAATATACCCTATGTGCTCTTCTTGTCATACTCTGCAGGCAAAGCTTGGATGGGAGATTTTGCTTGGAGCAAGCAATCTTAAGAGATTGCCAGACTCCAACAATGTAGGACTTTAAAAATGATCATTGTGATCTTGAAGTACACCTGCAAACTAATGAATAATTAATGTGCTTCCCTACTTTATTACTACTGTATTGCACCTGTTATCAGGTCCCTGCATTTTTCATTTTTTTCCCCAGTTTTAAGATATAGAGTATATTACTGCAGTTCATCTATGAGATGAGTGTCGAGTGACTATAGTCAATCAACAAAAGCCTCATCTTCTATCTCCTCCTGCAGAAATGAAGTCAAGGACATCTCGTGATTAAACACCAGTTTTTTTTTCCTTAGAAATCATACCTCTGTCCAAATCTGATTTTGGAATTTTTCCCAACAGCTAACAGCCTGAATCCACAGCCGCTTAACCTTGTTGGGATTGAATCTCAACCTACTTCTTCCCATCTACATCTTTACAATTTAAGATGGAGGGTCAAGATTTTCACCATAACTCCTGTATATCCTAGAAATGCAGATGCATAACTGAATATTATCAGCAAATATTATTGATTCCAAAACCAGGCCCATCACACAATTCCCCCCTAGCAACTTCATGTACAGTAATTATGAAATAGAGTTGTAGAGAAGATTGATTCCTGAGACATGGATTCAGCATCTCTATCTCGACATATGTTTAAAACTGCCCACTCGGGAAGAGCCGAGGTGGCGCAGTGGTTANTCCCCTACTTCTACCCTCTCTCTTCCCCTTCCTGCCCGCTCTCCTTCTGATGTTGTGTTTTTAGTACATCCCAAAAGTCTTTGGGTTATGATGACAAATTGAGATGGGCATTTTCTTTGCTAAGTGATGTGGTTGTAAAGTGTGACCTCATGTGACCACATCACGTAGTTGTGACCATAATCCCAGGATTGCATGGGTATTAAGAGAGAAACTCCCATGGCCAAGTCTTTGGAAGAGGTATGCATTCCAAGAAAGACAGCTTGTGGTTGACATAAATGGGTGCTGTTAGCCTTGATGGCGCAGTGGGGGCAGAATGCAGTACTGCAGGCTACTTCAGCTGACTGCCAGCATTTCGGCAGTTCAATTCTGACTTGCTCAAGATTGACTCAGCCTACCATCCTTCTGAGATCGGTAAAATGAAGGCCCAGATTGTTGGTGGCAATATGCTGTTTCTGCAAACTGCTTAGCGAGGGCTGTAAAAGCACTATGGAGCGGTATATAAGTCTAAAGTGCTATTGCTGTAGAGTGTGGGTGGATGTGTGAAAAAGCAGCAGGGGCGACTCGACTTGGTGAGAAGCTGGCAGAGAAGTTTGCAGATGACATTCATTTGACCCTGTACCCCTTGTAATTGCAAACTGGTTGCTTGAATTGTGATCCCATGAGCATGGAATCTACAAAGGCCATAACTTCACATACCAGTCACAAGCTTTTGAAAGTTGCTGCACGAGTGGTCATAAACTGGGCCCAAAGTCATCCAGCTGGCTTTGTGTCTAAGGTGGGACTAGAACTCCCAGTTTTTAGCGTTTACCTTAACCACTGTACCACACCGGCTTTCATAGACATATTTAGCAACTACCAGTATATTGTATAGACTATGTAATCTACCTCGTAGAATATACAGAACAAACTTTATGACCTAAGTATTAAAGGGATGGTCTTATGGAATTGCAAGTTGTTAATGACCATTTATTTCAGGGATTGGTAAAAGATACTGAGGTACAACAAGTGCCTATTACAAGGTCGAATAATCTTTCTGCTTGTCTTGCTTTCTTTTGAAGATAATTGATGCTTTCCCCCTTTCTTTTAGTGGTGTGACAAGAATCGTAGAGATACCTGGGGAAGGAGGCCCATTGGGGATACATGTGGTACCCTACTTTTCATCATTAAGTGGAAGGTAAGGGATTTCCATTATGGAGAAGCAAACCAGTAGAAAAAGTAATCAGATTTTTTTTTCTTCAGATATCAGCGCCAGTATATGCTTAAAACAATGTACATACTGAATATCACAATCTTCTTATTCTGTTGAATAGCGAAGGTTCCATTATATAAACCTGGAAGCATGCATTAAAATTAATATTAAACCCACAATTAGAAGCCTCACCAAAGAAAAGCACCTTTTTTTTTGGCAATCTGTTTGTTTTTTTTAAACATAAAAAGAAACAATATTTTTTAAAAAAATGATCTCATCCATTACATACAGCATGTCATTTGGTTACAAGTGTTTTTGCCTCCATATTCTCAATTCGAGTTTCGAGTTTCGAGTTTAATAAAATTTGTATGCCGCCCCCTCCCATTGGGACTCTGGGCGGCTCACAGCAAGACAAAAGAAACATTTAAAATTTAAGAATAAAAAATAATTACATTTACAATTACATTTACAATTACATTTACAAT